ATCTCACCCTTGCTCTTACCACTAATTCAGATAGTTCACATATGTTAAACCCCTTTATAATTGGTCATTCAAAGAAATCAAGATCATTTAAAGGCAAAACTGGAGAGCAGCTTGGCTTTTATTACTGTTATAACAAGAAAGTCTAGATGACTGGTCTTCTTTTTAGAGAATAGATTGTAAACTTTAATCAGATGATACAAGATATAAATTAATATATTCTCCTTCTTATTGATAGCGCCACTTCGCATACAGTTGGTGATGTAGAACTTACTAATATAAAGGTTGTCACTTTACCTCCAAGAACTACCTCCAAGCTTCAACCAATAGATGCAGACATTATTGCTGCCTTCAAACACTGATATCATCATTTTTTATTACAACATACTATTGATCATGATGAGGCTGAGGAATCTGATATCTATAAAGTTAACTAACTTATAGCAATGCAATAGTGTATTCGAGCTTGGTATTCAATTCCTTCAGAAACTATTACAAACTGTTTTCATCATACTGGCTTGTTTGATTATGAAATAACTACCTCTACTCATGAAGTTCACCCAAATGATGAAGATTTATCTGTTCTCACAGAGTTAGAAGAATCACTTAAAATGTTGTCCCCTCATCATTCTATGAGCCTTACTCATTATACAAACCTACCAAAAGAGATAGATTTGATACATCAAGAATTTACAGATACTGACTTATTAGCATCAACAACCTCAGAAACTGATGATGATGCTAATAGTATAAATGACAATAATTTTTCTTTTACTATACTTTCAAACTCTGTTAAACTTGATGCTATACATACTGTGATTAATCTTCTTGACACAACTATTTCTGACCACAATACCATACTTAGAACATTGTGTTTATTGCAATGAGACATTCAGCTTCAAGTTTTCTCCTCAAAGGTTCAAGTAATATTAGATAGCTTTATACAAGTAGGATATCAAGTAAGAGTTTTAGTTAATTAATTGCTTTTACAGGTTTGTTTTTTTATTGCTGATTATTTTTTATTTTTATATTAGTAA